GCATCTGAACACAATTTGTAAGACCATAACTTTTTTTCAGTATTTTTTCTATATAATTATATATATAATGAATTTGTTATACGACCTTACAAGAGGAATATTTTTAATATCAGTCGTATTAAATAGCATCCATTCAGAAACACCCACTTTTATTGTGACCGTGCAGTCATCAAATTATCGGAATAAAACCAAACTCATTGAAATGCGCATCGCTATAAATTGTATTTGAAATACTACAATAATGTTTGTATTTATCTACTCCTGCATTAACAGAGATAGGTTATTGTACTATTTTCTTGTAGATATAAAGATGCCCATTAAATCTTATTTAAAAAAAAATACTAGTGTTTTACTTCATGCGGATTCCTTTTTATTAATTAAAAACATTTAGAAAAAAGGCCTAATTTATAATGAATATATTGTAGTTAATTAAATTATTTCATCGTCTACATTCTCAATTAACATTAAGAACAAATATTATTTTATTTGTAAATAATAAAAAAAAATATGGTTTTATATTTTCGACGTCGAAATATTTTAAGTAAACCTACTAATACAGTTTAAAAACATACTTTTCAAAGATATTTTAATAACATAGGTAACTACTATACAGGAAAAATGTGCTTAAACTTTTATTCCATTTTGAATTTAAAACCTAAACAATTCTATCCATTTCTAGTATAGAACAAAAACAACTAGTTAATTCTAGTAATTTCAAACAACAAGTCACGCCACTTATCCACTAATTATGCAAACGAAATTGTCACACAACAGCTAACCATACAATAACTGCTAACAAAGCATTGAATTGGTTGCGCTACCAAAAAAAGTACACATGTTACCTAGTATAAAATTTAAATGTTATGACAACAAAAAATTCAAAACAAACAACTTGAAAACAAGATTATTTTTTCTAAATTTATTAACACTGAATCCATAGTGTTCTAAGAATTTATTAAACGTTCTATCAAAAATCTAAACGGAGTCATTATATTCGAAATCGGTTATTTTGTGCGCAAATTATTTTATTTCTTTTATATTAGATTATAGGAAATTAATGAGGGTGCGTGCGTGTGGTATAACCATTTTTTTGCGAAACAGAGGGCCTTGTGGTTCATTATTATATTTTAAGTTACAACAACTTAATTTGGGAAGGCGCCGTACCGCCTACGTCGTTTGATTTCATATAATTTTCATACCGCCAAATGTTATTTCGATGAATTGCCACAAAAAATCAACCACCATAGAAGTGTTATGAATGCGCACATTTTGAATGGTTTGTGTTATTTCTGTCATTGTGAATAATTTAGTGAGTTAAAAAGACGTCTTTTAAAATAAGAAATTATTACGAGAAGTACAGATTTCGAATTATTTACGTTATTTATAAAAATAATAATAGTCATATCAATAATAATTGAAAATAAATCATTCACGTGTTTATTTATTACAAGTAAAATTACATTATAATTACACAATTTTTATATTTAATTTTTTTTAAGAAACAAAGAAAGAGCAAGCAATGTTATATTAAAAATAAAAAAAAAATTAAAAGTGTAACTTGTATTTATATGCATATAAAAAGCAAGAGACACTAAATGTAAACAAATTCGATCGATTTTTAAATTTAGAAATACTAAATTGCCACCACGCTCCCGTTATATTCGGCCAGTTATATTTCTAACGTGCTATAAATAATTAAATTTCGTTATCAACACTTTAAATCTAATTTTAATTAAAAAGCGTCACATATTTCACGCGGTATTCGGTGGTAGGCGGTTCAAGACGTCCGATGAGATGTTAACCGTCCAGTTTTAAAAGAGCTACAATTTGTTCGTAGGGTCGTTAAAATTACTAGATAATAGAGATCACATGAAAATGGTGATGCAATATTAAATCGTTAAATTTAATATTGGCCGTGTAGTTTCTTTTATTGCTTCACAACTAACACGTACGCTAACACGGGTCAAGTGATTAATTTTTTTTCCTCGCAACAAATAAATGTTTATTCTCACGCGATTATTGTTCTTTTTCGATTAATGGTTCCTGTTCATTGTTGATTTATTTGTAGAAAGTGACTTCTTTGTATACGTTGTTTGATATTAAGTACTTGTTGCTAGTGTAGATGAACCAGTGACAGAAATAAGGCATTAGAAATAGAACGGTAGTATATACAACAGGAAAAAAGGTTCTCGAGTGGCGACCTCGTATAGGCAAACGCAGTATAGTAATAATAGATAGAACGACGACGTCGAATGCGATGCTTCGATGCGATGAATGATGCTGCACTGACTAGTGTACGTGATAACTTAGAATTCCTTATATTGAAGTTATGTTAAGCATAAGGTATGTTAAGCAGTGAAAAATTTTACGCTCGAAATGAAGTCCTTACTTCGATATGGGGGTTTAAAAGGTTATTTTTTTTATTCAACTTAAAATGGCAGACAAGCTGACGGGCTATATGATGGAAAGTAGTAACCATCGCCTATAGACACGAGCAGTACCATGGATATAACAAAGTAGGTATACTGTTTTGCCTATGATACCCCCTATGCATTGCCATTCCTGAAGACTCAGGTACCTCTGTACCCTGTAAATTCTCTGCCATATCCCACCCTTCAAACCGAGACACAATCATGCAAACACAACTGCTTCAGGGTAGAAATACGAATCAGATAGAGGTGCCCAAGCAAACGACTTTTGTACAAATTTTTCTGTAAGTTTCTGGTAAATTTTATCTAATTAAGATTTTATATAAAATTAATGAAAATCGAGACAACTTGACGCAATATAATAGATGTAAATCATAATATCTTTATAATTAATTACGTGTTCGAATGCTGATATGCAACTGTCGTAGACATTATTAGGTCACTAGTTGTACGTGTGTAATGTGAACTTCGAAAGACGATGCGCTTAGCGCATATGCAACAGCGAAGTAAATTGAATCATTCATTATTAAACAAAATTATTTTTTATACACCAAAATACAAAGTTCAAATTCTCCTTAAACGAATTGAGGTAGGAATGAAGCTGTTTGTGAAATAAGCACGACATTCAATGAACCTGCATATTGAATGATCGTCATCAAATTCCTTTGCGATTCGTGCGATTTTCGATAACGCTGTTCGTATTAAAAGAGACAAAGGAGTAAAACACTTAACACTTCATAAGGAAAAGTGTACCGATATAGTTGGTCTTTGTACTCGTAATGAACTCTCGATAATTCTTGAGCAAACGACAAGCCGCGCGAATGTTATAAAAAAAGAAATGTGAAAGTATGTTTTATTTAAACAAATCACTGTGCGAAAAGTTGCGTGCTTTTAAAGTAAATATTAAGTAATTTGACAGCGAGTGTAATATTACATACTCGCAAACGCGATAGCTTTCGCCTAAGACGAATAAAATAATTTAAACTAGCATCGCAGAAATAGTTCCAAAATGGTGACTCGATAACGTAATTGCTAAGCCTTGTTATAAAAAAAGTAAACTAGTAGAATTTATGGCTGTGCGTCGCATAGTCTTTTTAGTATCGCCTTTATACAGTGGAAGCAAAAACAAAACGAGCTCTGTACTGTCGTCGTTTAATCTAAGTTCTACGTACAAATTCTTAGGAATTTCTTAAAAACCATCACAAAAGCATTTTAAAATGTAACTAGAAATCCAACTATAAAAAATAATTTGAAAGCATTTTTTAACTGTTATATTTATTAACTGTTATAGCTTAGTATAATTATTCTATGGTAAATTATATTAATATGGAAAAATTAAATATTTTTTTAAAAGGTTCTTATAATTAAAAAAAAAAACGCTAAATATAAAAAAATATTGAAATTAAATATATTTTTCAATCATCTGATTTAGACTTTCGTTGACCAAGCATAATGTACGGCAATCGTTTAGACTAGAATAAAATTTAATAGAATGTGATCATAAATAAAGAAAGAAAAAAGTAGCGAATAAGACGGGAATTTCTGTTAGTATTACAATTCCCTTATAATGTAACCTTTTGCGTTTGTCCAAGTTCCCGTACTATATCACAGTGTACCTGCAGCGGGGACTGGCCGTTGACCCTTCAAGTATTGACATATTCATATAGTTTCTCACGTCTAGCTTACCAACCAACACGATTACAGAATGCCAGGATGTACTATGGAAAAGCTAATCATGCAATGTTTTTCACAGATATATTTCGAAATATTAGGAAAGAAAATTTTAGACTTCAAACAATTTTTAGGGCTTTATAAGACAAATACAGAATGACAAAAAATATTTGAATGAATAAATTTAATATGTTTACAATAATACTCTACACCACTCTACACCAAAAATATAAATCACTATATACAGAAGATCTTATACAATACTTTTAATTTGAAAGTAAATTGTCTATTCAAAACCGTCTGAAATGAACAGGCAATACCTGCACTGAAAGACAGAACTGTGGTACTAATTATGTATATAAGAGCAATGCCAAATGCAAACTATATTTTAGCAAAGATTGCAATGCACATAAATTACTTATATATACTTTTTTTGTATTGAATATTTTTATTAAACATTGCAATAGATATTTTTATTACTCATCCCATAAAGAATTAGTTCTTGAACACTAATATTTTTATAAAAGAGTTTGAATATAAAACAAAATGGTCTGAGTTTCCTATTTCTTCAATTACTTCTAAACCACGTATCAGATGCTGGTTTTACTGTCATTTAAATATTTTTTACGGAATATTTGTAGAAGACATTCTAAATCAAACTCGGGTATACGGAGATAAATTCAATGTTTATAATAAATTGTATTCATGCGAAGGTTGGAACAGGTCACTAGTTTACTAGTCATTTCCTTCAACTTTGTCTGCGTACATAAAGTATAGCTTTAGCTATAAATTAACCTACCTGTGGACCAAAAAGTTTTAAGTAACAAACATCCGTACATTTTTATAAATTTTCACATTTATTATATTTGTAGGATTAGTATAAAAAAAAATGTAACTTACGCTGGTCGTTTCCACCAGAGCGAGCCATAACGGTGCCGTTTGGGAACACGTTGACGTAAAGGTGGGAGCACTGGCTGTAGAGGCGAACTGACCGGACCATCGATGGCACCGCACCGCAGATCACCACCTGCAAAATGTATTACAAATATATATAACAAACAATAACAATACGAAATTCTCCAAAAAAAAGAGTAAAGAGGTTTCTTCCGGGTTGACAAAGTGCGCGTAATGTCCCTTATATTGAGACGATCATATGGAAATCGCTTAGAATCAGTTGGCCCGTGTGCTCGTGAGCTCTTGTGTCATCTTAGCACTATAAAAATTTGTTACCAATTAACTCCTCCGTACTAGACTGCTGTAAACAAACTCTACAAATTTTGATTGACCTACTACGAATTAAAAGATTATCACTGAAATCACCACTATTTTATTTTTATAGGCAAAACGCAAAATCTTGTAAAATACATTTTTTTACACTACTTTGCAAATATGCTGACGGCCCACCTGATGAAAAGTGCTAACCGTCGTTTATAGATATGAATAGTACCATAGAAATGGCAGAATACACTGTGTCATTCGTGATATCTTTCATTTTGTAAGTAATATTATAATTATTTATCAAACTATGTTAATAAAATAAAACTTTGTTTTTAACTTTGATAAATATATAAAAGTACCTACCGTAATGAATATAAAATACTGTAAATTAAATGTGCAATTTGTCACTTTATTAGAAGTTTGAATCACCGTTTTTGCTAATGTTAGTACCTACTTCTAACTCAATACCACTAATGGTCACGGCAAATCGACTGAACGATAACACAGCTGTAAAATACTGATTTATGCCAATGTTAGTCACTAATTTTCATAACTCATGCTGCTAGAACTGACGCCATGATGACTGATGACATAACCAAAGAATTAAATAAGAAATACAATTCTAATATGAAAGATTGAGAAATTAATTATCTTAAGACTTTCGTCTTAGCTAACGTAGAGGAGATATATAATTCACAGTGTAATAATATTGTACCAATCTTATTTAGCCCTAGGATATCGTAAAAGTCTATCAGAAATACAAATGATAATATTTTTTTACAACACAGGGGGCAAAGGAACATGCAGCTCACCTGATGGTAAGTGACTATCGCCGCCTATGATCACCTACAACACCAATGGTATTGCAGGTGTGCTGCCGGCCTTTTAAAAAAGAATATGCTTTTTTTTAAGGTTATGATGTCGTATCGGTTCAGAAATATTGCTGCAAGAAGTTGATTCCAAAGAGTGGTTGTGCGTGGAAGAAAGTGCCTTGAAAGATGCACGGTGGAAGACCGCCACTCCTCCAGATGGTTAGGATGAAACTTTAGTTTATGGCGGGTTGTACGGTGGTGAAAATCAACAGCAGGTATCAATTCGAACAATTCCTCAGAACACTCCCCATGATAAATTCGATAGAAAATACACAGAGATGCAACATCTCTACGCAGTTTCAGTGGATCACTTCGGACAGTAAGGCTATGATTATCAATTTATCTAAGTGCAGGGGGAAGAAATACCTGAAATAAACTCTACACCAAATTTTGGCCAGTGTAGGCAAGTGAAAGAACTAAGCGTTTGAAATATAGAAGAATATAATAAATTATCTTATGGGGAAGACCCATGACCACATTAATAAATTGTGGAAATTCAATCACATATAAAAACAAATAGACACGAATACTAGGATATTGTAAAGATCTGTTTGAACTTTATCACAATAATTTTTATGATTCTGTTAACATTCCGATCTATGGAAAACACGTCAATAAAATCATAATCTTGTGTAAACGAACATAGAAAATTACCGCATACATCTTCGAGTAGTGTGTGGTCTATATCAGTGAAACCCTATCACACTGCAACTATAGTGTTGAATAGTTTAAATTAGTTTCCTTATTCTGTTACTGCACTTTCACCGGCATTTTAATGGCGCCAGTCGTATACCGACACCTCATTACGCAGATATTGATCAACATCCTATCTACAGTGACCCCGTGAACTTCACGAACTTAGTTGCTGAATATTTTCTCATTAACCTTAATAGATGTCCTTTGAATTTCAATTAGAAGCAAACTTACTACATTAATTACAGGGTAGAGAGGTATATCGATATAGTCCTCAGGAATAACAACAACACGTAAGCGGTACAATGTCCATTACCACAGACGTAGTATAACGTGTTCACCGAATCACAGTGTATTCTGTGACGTTCACAGCTCTGTTCATGAACAGACACATGAATATCTCAATGCACATGAAATCTATAGACATATATAGGGGGAGTATTGCCAATTTTCATCATTTGGATAATCAACTCGTTTGCCATTCTATGTAACACAAAAAAGTCTTTCACCTTGAAAATAACTGCAAGAGATTTTATAATTTTATTATCTTCTTAAATCAGGTCTTCTTATCTTCCTTTGGTAAAGGAGTAAGAATATAAGAATACAATTTATATGTTTTATCCCCAGGGTTTCAATTGTATGAAAATTTAAACTAAAACCGTCGAATCAGTATTGAAAGAGTCTAATATCCTACTTCTTGGGGTAAAGGATTGTTAATAATGAGGTCTAATATATATCCTATCCTATAAAGACAAATCCAAGTTCAATAAAAGGATCTTAATGAGGTGCAATCTTCTTATCTAAATATATCTAAGATATACGTCATATTTTCAATGGCTCATCATCAACGCAAATTTAATCATGTACAGAATCTTTCATCCAAGAAGTTTCACAATTACATTGGATTTTGTAATTATTGTTAGAACCAGTAACTTCGAGTACAATAAGGAAACAATCGATCGTTTTAATGGGTCAGCCGTGCTCAGCTAATCCGTCAGACCAAGGGCTCGATTGTGTATGTAGTCAATTTTAAATCCTATATTGTAGCTAATAAAACTTTCATTCACTTTTTTATGCATATTCATTTAAAGACCTTTTGTATCTGATTCTATTATGGTATCATATTCAAGTGGGAAAGCATAGGCTACCACGTCGCGGTCACCATTCAGCCGTGTTACGTTTCACGTGAACTTTTTGTATACGTATAGTGTTTTTTAATATTAGATTAAATTTTAAAATTTGTTCTCTGCATTCAGAAATTATCCTATACTGACATACTGTAAATTACATCTATTATATCTAAGATTAATTGTGGGGGAGGGAGACTTGGTCCCTTAAAAACATTACATTTGTATTCTTAGACTTGTTTTTGCAAAGCTTTGTGCTGGGGTGGACAGCAGACTGTTCTGGGGTGAGCAAATTCTAACTAACCCCAAGTTATTCACTGACGTAATGTTCGTTTCTGAAGTGTTAAGGTGAAGTGTTAAACCAAATGAGACTACTTACTTACGTAGAACGTACTTGCTCTACTCCTTCAATTTGTGTTCGGTGTAAATATTAAAAGCTTTTAATGAGCTTCCTAAGAGCATTCTGTCAGTTCTTTAGTGCATTTACAGAAACTTAATATGTTGTCTTATTCCGTATTCTTTGTTATTTTAATTCCACTTTAACATTTATTCTTAGTAACCATTCATTCACTAATTAATTGATTAGCTAAATAAATTATACATTAAACTAAACATTTCAATTTAAAATATGACATTTATTCATTTTACATGTTAATTATATAAAATAAAAACATATTGCGTTTTGAGAAAAGATATTTATAATAAAATGAGTACGTCATATTTACATTTCATCTTTAAATACGTATTTGCAGTAAAATATCATATTACTTGATATAAATTCATAACATATCATAACAAGTAATAACCGAAACGTAACGAGCGTAACATACCAAACCAACTTAATTATGTTAATGGCTATGGAATTCTTTACATTTTTGTGTGTTATGTGTCTTGGAACTCAATGTAAAATGAAGCTGTTAATTTGTATGCAGATTTTATATGACTAGTCACGTCGGTTTTACTGCAAGTAATATTAATAATATTTACGGCTTTCTGTGTAAAATAACTCCTTGTTTATCTCAATTAGTTCTAGCTATAAAACGCTACGCTGTTGATTTTATTGATACAACATAATTCCCATCCTGGATTAGGTAATCTACTGAATAAAAACTTAATATTTTTTATATTTACAAATTATTATAATACTCCTATAATAAATTTCCAACAAATATATAGTATTACAAACTTGTTGCAGTGCTGCAACATAAGATATGTTGCAGCGTATTAGTGTACTTTATATCATATTTTAAAGAAAAACGTAAAAAGTGTTTCAATACACTTTATATATCTATTATATTATTTTAATATAAATATGATATAAATTTTATATATGAATACAACCAACTGAATACAATTTGACCGATCTTACACTTAATAAATATAAAATACTTTTTAGATTATAGAAAATTTAAATAATACAAAATATTTCTTTTTATCTCCTCAAAAAACTAACGGGATAATAAGGATAAGGAAATGGATAAATAAAATTTTGACTTATGAAAAATGTGACTATAATCGTAAGAAAATTAATATGAAATAAATTCAACTCTTGTTTGGAAAAATAAATAAACAAAAACTTTATTTATCCAATATTTACACAGAGTTACATTCCCGTAATCATGTCATATACAAAGTCTATTAAATTGGTTTAAAAAATGTCTATAGGCAATCGAGTAGTTAACATATATTCATTTGCATTTAAAATTATTGTATAATATTTTTGTTATTTAATTCACTAATACCAATTTTGGTTTAATATTATTCAAAATTTTTATCAATTCAGAATCAACTTCGTTCATTATTATTTCATAGGATAGGGTTTCTCCCGCGTTTCTTTAATTTTTATATACAATAATATAATTATAATGTATTCGTTTATCTTATTCGGAGGTCACCACTCCTGTTGTCATTGGGCTTATCGTCAGCTTTGACCCGAACAGTATTACTGCCGCTCGATTACATACGAGTATCAACCAAATTATCCTACGAGTGTATCGTATCGGAAATTTTCACGGCACTCGAGCATTGATATCAAATCGATTAGGAAATTAATTTGGGTAAATGTGTCGACGTTAATATTGCAGTCGCATTACAAGTGGTAAACATTTAGATAGTTA